CCCTGCTTGCGCTCTCTCTCTCTCTCTCTCTCAAAATAAATAAATAAGAATTAATTAATTAAGTAATTAACTAATAGCAATACTACTCCAACTCCAGCAATCCTCATGCCTCCACTTCCATACACAGCCCACAAATTCATATTTTTAGATCAAATATTTTCTTGGGAGATCAGATTATTCAAGTCTCTTTAGGCATTTTAATCAAGAAAATATCAGGTGGTTGTAAGTGCTATAGAAAAAAATTATTTGTTTATGTATTATTTACTTACTTATTTTCCATCTTCCCCTAGTTTCCTTTCTTCCTTAGTTTATAAACTCCATGAGGGCAGGGACTTTGTTTTGCTCACTTAGTGCTTAGAGCGAATGAATATCATTCATGCCCCAGCTTCAGTTACAACCTATCATAATGAATGACGCACAAATTTTCATATTGTTAGGTCAGCCCTTCACTCTGAAGTCCACTTGACAATTCTTTTTGGCTGTTTAAAGGCACCTTAAACTCAACCTGTACAAAACTGAACTCATGAATTTTTTCTGCAAACCTGGGCCTCTTTTCATGTTCCTTTTATTAATCGTCAACCTCATTCAACAGACACCAGCCATGTACCAGGCTCTGGGGATAGAGCAGTGAGCAGACACAGACTCAGCTCTCAGGGACCAGACATCTACTGGACCCTTTGTTCCTCTGGGCAAGCCAGACATCAGATTAGCCTTGACATTCCTCTTCCGCATCCTGCCTCCCATACACAACCCAGCACCAAGTCAAGTGGATGTTTACTACCTAAATACTGCATAATCCATGCCTGTCTTTCCCTCTGTCACTATGCACAGGGCTGGTCTCCAGTCGCCTCTTGCCTGAATGGTGACAACTAACTGGACCAGCATCCACTCTACTCCTCCAATCCATTCTCCATACTGCAAATTTTATTAGCTCCTTTCTGTCACACACCCCCGACCTGGCGGCAAACCCTTCAGTGGCTTTCCACTGCTCCCTCTCTCTCAACTCCAGCCACAACAGCCCTTCCCCCCACCTTCACTTGCTATGCCCCTCCTGCCACAGGCCCTTTGCACATTCTGCTGCCTCTTCCTGGAAAGATTTTTCCTCTTCAACTACTTAACTCACACTCATCCCTCACTCTTCCATTCAACTGTAATTTCCTCAGGGAAGCCTTTTCTGATCCCAAACTCTTCTAATAAGCTCTCACAGAACAATAAATCTTTGTTGCTTTTCTCACAACAGCACACTTACATCTACCTATAGAGTTATTTGGTTAATGTCTCTGTCCCCCCAGGCTCTAAGCTCCAGGAGAACAAGGCCCTATCTGTTGCACTCATCATTTTATCTCAGGGTCTGGCACAGTGCCTGACACATAGTAGGAGAGCAAGAAGCATTTGTCAAGGGAAGGAATGAATGAAGTGGTGTAAAAAGTATCCAGTGACTCCACATGAATCTCCTAGGACAGTACTCCACACACAGCAGGCATGAATCGTCATTAAATCCCTTAGCCCTTTCCCCCAGAGAGTTCCCAGAACTTGGGAAGGGAAAGTTATTGACCATGCCTAACAACGCAGTCTTAGGAATGCCATCTCTCTCCTTTTGCCCTTCACTTCAAAGCCCGTAGATGATGTGGACACACCCTAGAAAAATCTGACTGTGCTCCAAAGCCAGCAAGAGGGTGTTGAAGGAGGAAGAGGGTCGAGCTGTGGGCTGTCTCACTTTGCCCACATTCGCGAAGCAGGTGGAAAGCCCAGGGATTAGAGAAGGGGCTGGCTTGAGTGGGTGCAACCTGAGGATGTGTCTTGGGGGCTTGCCTGGTGACCACAGAGAACACAACATCCAAATGAGGAGACGCCCCTCCCCAGGCCTTCTAACTGGTGGCCCAGGAGCCTTGGGAGGACAACGGGATTGTCACACTCAGACCTCACATCCTAAGCGTCTCCTTCATGGCTGCACAGGGGACCAGCACACAGCCAGTCCAAGCAAATGTGGTGGGCAGGAGACTGGGAGGGGTGGGAGCGGAGAGAAAGAGGGAGTAAGGAGAAAAAGGAGGCGTGTGCAGGTGTGGCCACAGTGCACACAGTGAGTCAAGGAGAAGCCAGAAACAAAAGCAAGGTCAGAGACGGCCGCCTTCCCTGCCTGACTCGCCAACAAGTGGCCTGGACAGGCTCTCAGGCCAGAAGGCTGGGCCGTGTCCAGTCCCCACGCCTCCTTGCCTGCACTGGCTGGGCAGAGGCCACAGTGACGGCCAGGGGAAGGGAGGGCGTGCATCTCCACGGGTCACTGAGCATCGATCCCTGGGCCAAGTGCCACGGACTGACTGTCAGCAGGCCCAGCCCTGCCTGCTGGGAGAATTCGGAGGTAGATCCACGCATGGCAGAGGGCCATCAAGAGTCATCATCACCACCCTGACACCCAGGAGGAAGGAGGCCCACCAGTTTGGGAGGTCTGATGGGACAAAGGTGTCTTTGGAGGGCAGTTGTGGCTCACCTTTGACCTCTGTGGATTCCAGGCGCGGTTCAGGTATGGAAACAAAGTGGCTGTGCCTGGGTGGCTCAGGCCACTGGGCAGAGTTTAGAAACGCAGAGGGCGGCGAGCCTCAGCCCCAAGCCCCGCCACCCCTCCCTGG